CATTATATAGTGGAATACAATACTGAAACCTTTTGTGATTAAGAATATTATTTATATCAACTGCATCAATTTCTTTGATGACATATGAAAGATTAAGGGCAAATGTGAAGAAAAATCAGTGCCCGATCTAAATAAAAACCTATAAACTGTACAGATCTGTGAAGACAACATAAAACATGGACTCCTGACAATTTCAGAATTGTGATCAGGTGCAAGGAAGGAGTAAGCATCCCTTGTTGACTGATGACATTCTCCTTCAGTCCTATGGATAGATAAGCATTATATCATATAGTCTTTAGAAACAAAGGCCTAACATTAAGCATGAATTAGCCAAAATACGACCTAATAATAGGTTATATTTACCTTCAATGTCATTATAACGACCGTAGAAATTTACAAAATATAGCTTTAAAAGAAGCTGTTGAAATCGGTGTAACATCAACTTATCTTTGAGTAGCGTTTTTCGGTTGAAAGATTTATTTGCAAAGAGTTAGCAAAAACACTTTCTCTCTGAAGATATTGACTAAATATGCGGGAAATGTACAAAAGTCTTCGAAAATTTGAAACAGGGATTGGAAAAGTTAAAGTGGTCAGATCTCGACAACCTGGGTGTTGCCGAGGAGGTCTCTGTGAGGGCTGTTCAAGTGCTCCAAAAACTGGTTATGCTTAGAGACATGGTAAACTTCTTAAATTCAGCTTCTAAAAGCGAGCTAATGGGCAGCAGAAACGTTTGAAGACATAAATACCATAAGCAGATGGTAGTGGAATATTACTTCATAAAGGAAAGTTAACGCAGGAAACTGGTCACCTCGTTTGTCAGAGTTTAGTTGTTAGTTGGCTCTTGTAGTGTATAGTCAGACAATTATTTAAATGTGAAAGAGATGGTACAGACTTTAATGTTGTGTCTTTCTTTCAAGTTAATTGGGAGAAACTGAGTCGACAAATAAATGATAATAACTCTTGGTAATTTACCCCATATTAAACATAAATAAGGAAAGATGAAGATGAAAGAGCTGTTTGTCTTACGATTGAGTTGTTAGTTGGCCTTTATCGTCTATAGTCAGCAAAATACATAAAGTTCCATTCTTATGTCAATACGATATATCCCAGTGAGCTTGATAAAAAAACCCACACAGTGTCTGACAAATCTGTTTCACATATGGGTATTTTACTTGAAAAGGGGTTAACTGACAACAAAGCTTTATGATATGATGGTTTTTAATTGTCAATTTCCCTTACTGATGTAGCTATATACCCTCATCACCTGTATACAGTGTTTATATCTCAATTGATACGATACGTAAGAACATGTTCTACGGATGTACAATTTCTAAAACGAGGCAAATTATAGAAAAACAAGTTGATGAAACAAGAATATCAACAGTCTCGTTTAAAGTCACCTTATGGTAATTGGTAAGTTCTATGGTCGATACAATGACGTTGTCAGCAAATACAGTTTATCATTAAGTCAAATGATGACTGACGTTTTTTTCATACTTATTTTAAGCCATTATTTCCACACTGAACTGTCGACGGATTTTTCCCGTTATTTCCCGATCAATTAAGACAATGAGCACACGGCGGGTGTGAGATCGGTCGGCCGGGGATTCTCACTCATGGCACCTGATCTCACCTCTGATGTTTTAAAGGTCCATATTTGCTCTGTTTCTATTTTGTTTTGTGAAATGGACTTTTGAGATCATAACGGATCTCTGAATTTTAGATATAGCATTAGGTGCCATGGATGTGTGAGCATCCCCTGTCGACAGGTCACATCCGACGTGTGCTCCCTGTCATGCATATAAATATAACAGAAAACCCGTCGGAAATTCACTGTTTAATGAAATATATGGATATAATGAACAGTATTCAAGCTCAAAAATCCATTTAACAATATAAATAGTGGCCTTACCACAAGTATAAAAAAGTCAGTCTGATCTGATTTAGTGATACATGTAGCTTTTATTTCCACCTGATCCCACCTCTGATGTTTCGGAGATTCGTGTTTGCTCTGCTCCTTTTTTGTATTGTTTTATGGACTTTGATATTGAATACTGTTCGGTATCTCCATATCCTTCTTCCTGACGCTTTGAACGAAACTGTGTATTATCTTGTTTTATAAATCTCTGTTTGTTCATATGTAAATCTCTGTTTAGAAATTAAACTCCGTATGCAGGTGATGAAGGTATATTGCTTCAGTAAGGTACCCAAGTCAACATCCACAGTCCAAACAATTGCAGTACTTCATCATGCTCGGCAGCACTTTTATGTGGTCTGTAAATGGAGAGAAGAAAATGTATGGCTTGACAAGGAATGAAACCCAGGATTCCTCTATTATCACTACACAGATGCTCTACTGACTGAGCTACCCATGCTGATATCCACGACCCAAACAATCAATATTTAATCTATAAAATCAAATAATCAAGAAACATTTTACTTTTGAAAAGAAATAGTATAGGCAATCATTTTATTTTTAAAAAGTAATTGAAATAAAACTGCAAATCCATTACATTTTTTTTTTTACGTAGCCCTTTTATCACTTTGTTAATACTTTTAAAAATTTACCTATCTATAGTGTCAATTTTTATACATTGGTCTTTTTTTAAAAAAAAGAAAATTAATGTTTGAAAGAAAAAAAAGAAAAAAGAGGTGAGTTGCCAGAAAGAATCTGCTCATTTGCATAGTTTAAACACCGAATTCAGATAATTCATTCATAGATTCAATGGATTACACTGAACGTCTTCCTGTCATACGGGTTGTATTAAATATTTACAGTTTACTGTGTAAAACTTGTCACATGAATCCAAAACATGTTTTAAAAGTTTCTTTACCTCTGATTAATATTGATAAACCCACAAACACTGTATATAGACTCAGTTATAGAGTATTGCAGCACTTTTCTTTTGTTAACTGGTGGTCTTAATCATAAAATTGTGCAATAGGAAGTTATTTCCGGTCAAGCCAGTGAGTGTGGATGTAACTGCATGCAGAACTTTTAATGAAATATATGGAGAAAACTAACAGTATTTAAGCTCAAAAGTACACTAAACAATACAAAATAGGAGCAGGGCAAACATGAACCTTATACAGCTAGGCGCCATATTGCATAATTATTTTTTTTTTAATCTCCTGACAGTACACCGTCAAAAATTGTGAAAAAAATACTAATTTTCTTCTCATTATAATTGAAGCAAAGATGGTTTAGTCAACAAGTAGCATGCAATGACTAGAAGACCTTTCTTGCACTTTAGCTACAAATGGCTTTCCTGAATAAGTTGCTATTCCTATCTCAATCTTTCACTATTGTCTATATACTCATATGAAATTAAATGTTTCTCTCAAGGTTTTTACTTTTGTTTCCAGGAAAACAGCGTTATTTTGGAAAGCTAACCTCACCCTTTAAATCCAAACGAAAATCTTTTCTTTTCTTTTTATAAAAGTACTTTTTTCCACAAGAAATTACATGTACGGTACTTGGAAAGAATTTTATGCTTATCTGTACTGGACAATCTTTAAATATGTTTACAACATATGTACATGTATATATTCTGGAATTAATTAGGGTTATCTTTTACCTAAAACAAAAGTCATACATTTCAGTGAATGCAAAGTTTATGTTTAAGTATGTTAGTAACGGAAACTATTATCAGGAAATAATATAGAACGACACCTACGTGGAGAAAATGTACATTGTAAAATTAAAATGGCAAACAATACAAATTGAAGTTTAATTTATGCCCTGCTCTACTTCAATTTGAAAACCAAAACAGTTTGTTTGCATGTATTTGACAATTGTTTAACATCTCATCAAATCAGTTAAAATGGTTACTAAAAGAATTCTATATATAGAATTAAGGAAGATTGTGAAAAAGACATTTTCCTCTAATACCCAAAAGCCACAACTGGTTAGATAATTCTTCTGCATAACACGAAAAGATTAAACTTATTCGAACATACTTTATTAGCTTCTCTGGATATAGTTTTATTAAGTTACAAGACAGAACTTCTCTGTGTAAAATGCAAATCTTTTTAAGGGTCTTTCTACAAAATACACAGAAGAGATCCTTTGTATTTTTATACAGCCAGAGTGACCTGCCCTTACAACTAACGTAAATATTTTTTCATTACTGCCTTTGTTATTTTAATAAAGAATTTAAAGAAAATGTTAAGATCAAAATATATGTATTTCTTTATTTACATACTCATATTTTCAATTAAGTAAGCAACAGTGACTTTATGATCACCAGTACTTTTTCAGAATTTTTTTCTTTTCTCTCAATCTTGGAGTAATATAGTTGGTGTCCTATACCGAAAATTAAAATAGCGGGTGTTACCAGTCGGCAGGGGATGCTTACTCCTCCGTGGCACCTGATCCTACCTCTGATGTCTGGAGGTCCGTGTTTGCTCCGCTCTTAATTCTACTGCTTGGTGGACTTTTGGACTTGAATAGTTCTTTATCTCTCCGAAGACAATGTCAATATTTACTCTTTTAAACACATATATTTTTTCTTAATCTATAAAGACTATTTTATTGTTATATATGGGTGTCTTGAACACGTACCTAAAGCAAGGAGACATACAATGTACATCGTTAATTCCAGAACCAAATGAACAAATCAGGCATCAAAACTGACAAGAACTTGGCAAAAAAAACCTTATATACCTAAACCATGTAGATATGAACTCTAAATAGCAGAAGATTGTCTTTGTTGGTTAGGTAATGTTAATCCTTCAAAAGTGAAAAATATTTTTTGACTTCGATAATCATGATAATTTGGACTTAACAATAGATATACCTTAAACTTTTGGTTATTTTCTCCTCGTATTTAAATCAGAATTTCAAACCCGAGATTTTTATTCTTATTAATGTCTTTTACACACGGGTAACCAAGTCTTTTACCACTTACCATCGTAAAAATATAACTGAAATGGTTAGAGCAGAACCGCTCTGAGAGCGACATTTATTTATTTACGTTTGCTTGTACCGGAACCGGATATAGATTAGTCAGCCATATTAAAAATTTACAAAACGATATCGTGGTTGATGATAATCAAAATGGGGTAAGTTTGCTTAGTTTGTTGTCGTAAAAATTACATTTTGAGAACTTTAAGTCTAGGAAAGTGAGGGATTTCATATTTTGCTTATTACTTTATTACAAAAGGATTGCCTGAAATGACAACTGCATTGCGCATGGATATTATCTTCCCTTGTTCCGTGAGCATGTCGCCACATCATTTGCACATATGCACAGAACAGAATAAAATAGTAAACATGTGTGTTTAATATTACTTTGCATATTTAGTTTTTTCTTTGTCAGTGAAAAAAAAATGATTAAAATATTACCAAATGCGTCAATTTAATATGTAAACAAGAGGTCATGGGTAATCTAATTTTAGATGGAGTCAAATTGAGGCTATCGCCATTGTTGTTTATCGTGTACGCCGAGTGTTAAACTTAGAGCAGCGTTGATGAAGACTAATAACCTGAATTGAACAGTTTTGCATATTTCATGATTTCAAAATGATTTTTTTGTATTTGATTCAATATTTAAAATGAATGTGTAGGCCTTAAAATAGATTGCAAACTCCTGAGTTTAATGCGGAAAAACAGAGTTTAGACTAATGTCGAGAATTGGTCCCGGAAACGGAAATTATTTTCCCGGAATGCATAAGTTTTAGAGTACTTGTTCATAGCTTTGAAGGAATGTTTTATTAATCATATTTACTAAGTCTATACATTGCATGAGCTTTAGAATATGGTAATTTATAACAGATTCTAGTTATTACTGTGTGTATCTGTAGAACTGTACCTCTCTGTTCGAGAATATTCGGACCGATATTTCCGCTTCATCTGTTCGAATTTTCTCAAGCAGAGAGCAACAATTCTGCAGTCAGATATACTGTGTATGGGGTTTCAGGAAAATAAAATTTCCACGATCTAGCAGGGACGTATACTACTACAACCAAACACGTCCTTTATAAAGCTTACAAAAAGTAATTTAATTGCAATCGATTGATTTCATGTATTACGAGAGTGATTCGTTTTTTAATGAAGAATAAATTGTTGAAATTTACTTGATAATGGTCATCAAATATGTACTTCTCATGAATGAATATTGATTTATTGGACTCAACTATTGAAGAATTAATTATTTTAGCATAACTAAGATTTTGATTTATTGATTTAAATATTAAAATCATAATCTATTGTCTACAGTCGTGGACATTTAGATAATCGATAAATCAGTACATCTCCACATGTACAAATAACAACGAATTAAAGTAGCAATTTAATTTTAATTTAACAACATTTAATTTTTATGACAAATAAACTAAATTTAAATGAACTGGATGGAACCGTAACTAGCACCATGCCTTTATAAGTCTAAGTGTATAAAACTAAGTAAGTTTTTACATGTAATTGTTAGGTACACTGTAGCACTGCAAAATTAAGTGAAGCTCTAACTCCGAAAAATATATTGACAGACCAGAGAGCTACATTGCCACCCATTGAAAAAATATGTATACCTGTATTTATTGCGTAAAAAAATGCAGTTTCTCAATTTATATATCCATGTTTTTCAAACTGTCACATCAAAATATTACTAACCGTGTGATCCTAACATATTCTTATGCTCATGTCTGTTTCCACAACAAAATATTCCTCGTAATTTTCTCTATGTGATCTATAATGCTCTCTACATAAGTCCTTAAATTGAGATAATCAAAATTTTCATCCATTTATACTAATATTTTTGTTTGCATTTATGCAAGAAAATTCGGTCTAGCGCGCTTTGTGCAGATATAAACTACCAGAGTACTTGATAGAAAAGTAAGAAGTTTTTTTTGTAATTTAGCTTTTTTTGCAATTTAGGTAAGAATTTTGGGAAAAAAATTCATCCAGAAACAAGAAAAAAGTTGTGCGCAATAAATATATAGTCAGGTTTCTTTTTTGTTGGATGGCAATGTAGCTCTCCGGTCTGTGGATATATTTTTGAAGGAGATCGAGAGCTCTACAGCCGTCAGTTCTGTAGGTTGTGTTAGGTTGACAGTGAGTAATAAGTCTACAGGCAAGTTCGTTTAAACCATATTTTACTGACGAAAAATGACCGGTGAAAAAAATATAGCTGTCTGTCTGTCCGTCTGAAGTCAGTCTGTCACAAAAAACACTTGCAGATAGAGCTGAATTTTGGTATGTGAGTGTATCTTAATGAGTTACAGATCAAGTTTGAATTTCGCTTTGCTTCATTGACTTTTGACAGAATTATGGCATTTTGAATATTTTTCATAATCGCTTAATAAGATCGGGTTCGAAATGCGAGGAAAACGGTGGAGAAATGAGTTGAATTTTCGTCTTAATGTGGATTATTTTATTAGTTTTAAGGCATTTACAACTTGAAAATCTTTCAGTTTTACCTTGGACACGACTTTTGCATATTATAAAATGACATCCTGAAGAAAAAGCAGAACCCGGTAGGGGACGTGTATTGCTTATGCAATACTCTCAGAATGCTTGTTGGACTTTGAGAAAATTATATAGTGTAAAGGAGGCTATTTTGAAATAAACTAATCCATTTCTAATATAAGCGTGCCTTCGCAGGAAAAATCTTTGAAGACCGTGAAGTAATGACAAAGAAAAATTGCTTTTGATTATTCAAATGAAGAAAATAAACGCAAATCAAGTTTTCAATTACTCTATCTTGGTCTAACATAATATTTAGAATACATGAATTTATTAAAAATTTTGTCATACAGTGCAGATTACAATTTATTCTTTTTTATGTCAAATGGTGGGTCAGTCTAACTACACGCAAGTACCTTGAAATTAGGGTGCAGTGTAGAGAGGGTCCTTAAACCATATTCTATTTGAAAATGACAAGCAAAAAATATAGACTAGAAGTGTACAAAAAAATAAAGGCGAGTTTGTGGTGTATTATAGTCATATTGTACATACTGACATGCTACGTTATCACAATGATTACATGTACGATTGATAGTATATCAAAACTAAAGCTTTTGTGCGATTTTATTTTCGCAACCTTTCTGCTTTTCGGCGACTTCTTCATATATTGCTTTTTAGTATTTACACTTTTTTTCGGACACTTCCTTTCCTTGCTGCAGATCTGTAAGTCTCTGTAGCGTTATGATTTTATAAACAAGAAAACATTGATGTAGCCATCAATTGTCGCCCGGGAAATATATAAAGTAAAACTGAAAATGCGTCTTGATCATCAAATCGCTTCTATATGAGTGAAAAGACATGCGTCTAATTGATGAAGACGATAGTCGTGAGAATTTTGAAAACATGTAGTCGGATAAAAATCAATCAAAAACGATACCATTTTAAACTTGATCAATTCCTCAAGTAAATGTTGGCTGCATAACATATAAATTGAAGTTAGACAAACGCATCACCTATATTTAAAATGGTAATTTTCAATTTTAGAACATAAAACACGAACTGTGCAGAGTACGTTTTTATCATAGAAGTAAAATTCGCTGTTCTGAAAAAAGGGACCTGTCGTTTTTTCGATAGTAAATGATATGCAACTTTATATATCAAATATGAAAAACATATATTTTTACAGATTCACTTTATGGAAGAAAATATATTATGTATCTCGTAATTTATAAACAGAAGGAACATTTTGATTAACAATCTTTTCAATGCTTAGAAATCTGTAATCCTAAATAACTACTCCCACCCTAATCCCCATACACCAACACTTAAACTTATATGTATAGAGCAGCCCAGTCCCCCGGGCTGGAATTATACATATTTGTCTTTGACCATAAATGTCAAAGACAAATATTATACAATTATTTAATGCCTGAGCAGTCAATGCAATTTTTTTTAGTGTGTTTATTGCCCGAGGCCAGCGGCCGAGTGCAATATAACACACTCTGCTTTTCTGCACCGAGGGAAAAAATTTCTTCTACATATATTAAATAATTGTTTTATTACCTAATTTTATTTTCCGTATTAAGTGTTCACAATTGTATATTCAGTACGGAAGGTTCCCGTACCATATTGTAAATGTATACCTATAGATATGGTGCATCTGTAATATTAATTAAAGATTGATTGTATAGACTATTGTTCACATTCCTCTCGAAAAATTTTCACTCGTATGGAGACGCCACCACTTTCGGTGGAGAGGAACCTATTTCGTGTCAGCAGTGCATCTACTGCGACACGGGACCTCGGCTAATAGGTCTCACCCGAAGGACCGGTCTCCACGTCCCTCAATGTATTAATTAAAAGTAACTCTCATTAAATAAAATATCCGACCGTTGAAATTACACAATTTTTAAAACCAATGTCGAAAGATCGAATAAGATGATTGTTTACCATGTCTGTGCAGTGTAACAAACAACTAAATTTGAAACCCGGATCGGTTTTTTCCGAAATACGTTGCCGGTCAATAGAACGTTTTTAAACATCTTTCGCCAGTCAATAATCGGTTTGAAAAGATAAAAAAAACTGAAAACACATACAGAATAGATGAAAATATTGAATTTATTATATAATAAAACAACAAAATTCATTGGATTAGGTAATAAATCAAACCATAACGCTACAGTTCTGCAGCCATTCCTTTCCAAGGTTTTTAAACATCTTTTAAATGGTCATGGTAAGCATTTTACTTCAAACGGTTACCGACTGACTGGATCATATTTTACGCTGGTTAGTGATGTTTTAGATGTTACTATAGACACGAGAGCTATATGTTCCATTGCGATGTCCTATAGGTTCAAATCGAACAAGACGATAATTTAATTTTAACAATATTTTATTATGAATGAAAATACATGTAATAGGATCGGACAGCAGGCACTGCCTATATAAGTCCTTTCCACAATACAAAGATCAAAGTCATACATGTACAAGTAAATATTAGCTATATAACATTGAAAAATATAAATTTATACATGCATATATTCAGTAGAAATGTTTATTATATAGTCTATTTATAGTCCCTATATAATCTATACAAACGCAAACAGTTCATAACACTACATATTCACCGGATTTTAGGCCGTATTCACCGGAGGGTCAATGAACGTGCAGCGGCATTGTAACGTCACAATCAAAATAACGAATAACGTTGTAAACAATGGTTGCAACGGCCGCAGCGAACTACGTATCTTAGCAGGAAAACCATTAGCAAATTATAAAAACACATTGGAAAGGAAAATACAGATGTTACAAACAGTAATCTGGAGGTTTTTGTTATTTACAACAATGGAAGATAGCAAGTGAAAATGAAGCCTTTATATGTATTCAAAATAAAATAAAACAATTAGAAATCAGCAGAAAAAAATAGTATTTAACAATTGGTAACCAATTATATCCATATAGAAATGGACGTTAATATTCTCCTGACAAAACTTTCCAGTTTTCAAATTGTGACAAAAAGCAAAATACAAACAATTGAGAACGAAACACATTTTTTGCTACATAATGAATTATATGAAATAAAAAGAATAGAAATCAGCAAAATAATACTTAACAACTGGTCAAATTATATCCATTATATAAAAAATCTTAATAAACCACACACACACACATATACCACATATATTACTTAACAGAGACTTACAGATCCTTAGGGACAGTTGTACAAAATATTTTGTAATCTGTATCAATGCACATGATGCTGTATATAATGAAAATGTCATCCCTATTTATTTACTGACCGTATAACACTCGAATCTTAGACAATTCTTTTCTTTCTCCAGGAATTAGCGGTGGCACCTGTCAAGTGTGGATTTATAATTTTTTTAACACGGTCGAGTAAAAATGAACCATGCACGTGTTCGATACAGAAGGAGCCGATGTAACGCATGTCAGGTAAGGCACAGACGGGATACTGAATCAAAATGGGGTACGGAAAGGATACATCTATTAGATATACTATAAATACACGTTGACAAGCATTTACTAATGCGGATTTTTATTGCCCTACCTGTTTATAATTTAATTAAGTATCAACATCAAATATTTTTCCAGTAAACATTGTAAAGAATTTTCATTTTTCATTTATGGTTTCGAGTTCTTCCATCTTTCATACTCACTTAATGATATGGCTGCGGCATACCTCCTTAATAACTTTAAATATGCCTTAAGCTAATGCTGCAGGTTAAACATTGAAATGATGATTTGTCTTTATTTTCAAGAATTTTAGTTTGAAAAAAAAATTGTAGTAAAAGTCAAACAAGACCTATGTATCCCTCAGGTTTACTGTGGCATTTAGACAATTCACAAAAATGTTTATGAGAGAGAGAGACAGAGAGGGAGAGAAAGAGAGAGAGAATATGTAAAACATATATTGGGAATCAAACATACCTAATCCAATTCTGAAGTTTTCTTGCTGAAATTAGCTGAAAATGATCAACAAAATGTCTGAAAAGAAAGACATTTCATGCATTTGAAAAGCATGTAGGGCATTCGCACATATTCTTACCATGACAAGAGATATATTGATTCAGATTGATATGAATTTTTAACATACATAATATACCTGCATCGTCTTTGCAAATGTATTGCATCTCATTAACATGGCCAAGTCAAGCATCAGTTTCGATATAAAAGGCTCTCCTGTTTTCTTTTAACATGTTTAAATGAGAAGCTTATTGTTTTGTTTTGTTTTGTTGTTTTTGTTTTTTATATTTATTAATTAGTTCATTTAAGTTTCCAACATCATAATTTGGTTATATGAATCATGAAAAGTTTATTGGTGATATTGATAAAATAGGTTCGACTATTACATTTCATCTCATGATATAAACACAAGTTCGAGAGTTGTCATTCTTTGCTCAGGTATCAATGAAATTTACCACTTTATATATATTTCTGAAATATTTATTTTTTAAAATTCCACCCATCTAACGTGAAATGTCGAGTATTTATTATATTCTCGAAAAGTTACAGTTACCAAATACCCCATCGTCGGAAACGATACAAATACCTGTACTTATACATGTGCAATGTTTCATGCACTATGTTCTTACAAATCTTTATTTACGCCAATTGTTTACCTGAAATCTATTGTTTTCAGAAACTTTCCTCTGTGAAGAATAAAAAATGAATTCTATACTGATATGAAGAAAATGGTTTTGTATTTCTTACAAAATGTAATAATGGATGTTTTAAGGTAATTTCTTTTGGTTTCAGAATTGTTTGAGAGAAAACTGTGGCACTTGTATGCATTGTAAAGATAAGCCAAGGTTTGGTGGACCTAATACTTTGAAACAATGCTGCCTGAATAAAATGTAGGTAGAAGAAGGGGTGATATATTAAGCAACATGTGCACAGTTAGTGAGAACATCTAAAGAATTACAGAAAACCGCTTATACAAATTAATGTGTACTCCGTTAAAAATTAATCTTTTAATGTTTGAACTGTCTTCAGATTTTTTTTCAATTTAACGAACATAAATTTGAAAAAAAAAATATTGACACAGTAAGACCGCGGAATATTAACTGGCAAAATTGGAAATATACAGCTTACGTCATTTCTATCTGTTACAATCAAAACATTCAGTGATGGGCGGGTTCAATTCGACGCGGACGTTTGGAAAACATCGGATTGAAATAGCAGATCGAAATTCACTTTCAATCCATCTGAGCTGTTTTCAAAGCAAAGAATTAATGTAGGATCCAAAAATCAACTATATTTCAACTCCAAAATACATATTGTTTGAAGTTCACATTAATGTGAGTTTTAATAAGAACGCGAAATATCATACAAGACAAAGATTATTTTTCAGGAGATATTTGATTCTAGATTCTTAACATGTCAATATATATTTTAAAAAAAAAACCACCACCACAACCACTACCACCAACACAGAGATATACATATATTTACCAAACAGAAATGAAATATTTCTCCCTTAAATATTAATTCGGTTAAAACATTAGACAAAAAAATTCAAACTTTACCAAAATTGAAATTATTTGTCTTCTGGGTCAGTCAGTTATAATGTTCCTTCTAGTGTAGCTGATGTGGATTGAAAATGAATTTCAATCTGCAATTTCAAACCGATGTTTTCCAAAAGTCCGCGTCGAATTGTACCCGCCCATTTCATTGTCTATCACTGAATGATTTGATTGTAATAGATAGAAATGACGTAAGCTGTATATTTCCAATTTTGCCAGTTAATGTTACGCGGTCTTAACACAGTCTTCATAAGTATATGCATATATATTATACGCCAGTCTCCAGTTCAATTATAATACTCTTCTTTGTGTTTCAGATGCTTGAATCCTAACACAGTTCCTTCCATCTATTTTGCGGTGTGTACTACTCAATTCTTACATTTGCAAGAAATGAAAGTATACCAGTTAATTTGAAAAAAAAAATTTAGTATAGTGAAAACTTTAATACTATACCCGGTAGTTATTAATTATATTTAAGTAAAGTTAAGTATTTTGTCGGGGGATAACTTAATCAAATATTACAAGTTTACAAAAGCAATTCAATGCTTTAATTTTTTATAAATACTGAAATTAAATACTGAAATTAAAATTTCAGCTTTTCAAGAAAAACATTTTATATTATTTATTATTACTGATTTATTTATTTATTTTATTTTATCTGCAACCGTTAATTCTGATACTAAAATAGAACATGTAGAAAGAAAGACATTTTATTATACATGTATACATTAACGTTTATATAAATTGTCGTATAAAGTAGATTTAATTTAAAAGTATAATAAATATTATATTGAATGTACTGAATTAGTAGATTCATCGACTGAAATACCATAGCACATCTGTAGGTGATGGAAAATCTTTTTACAAACGTTTATTGGATGCTGAACGAAGTGATTTTAAATGGGAAAAAAGGAGAAAAGCTTCAGTTAATGCAAATATAGTAGTGTTATCCGAGACGTCACTCCTAACTAGATTCCTACATCAATCTGATTAAATCAGATCTTTGATCCGCTCACATACATGTAGATCGCTTCACCTTGTGTTGTGATCTATGTCAGCGAATCAAAGGATCCCATGCCCGTTTTACCAAAAAAAAAAAAAAAAACCAAAGAAAACAAAAACAAAAAAAAAAAAAAAACTTGCGGCTAAGATCAAAATTAAATTATATTATATATTATTAAATTATTCTATGAAAATAGTTTAAATCTTTTTTAAAGGAATGTAACAAGATAATCGTACGGTGGCAATTTTATAACAGAATGATTAGTTTTGCAAAATTTTATAAACAATTCAAGATTTTGGTCTCTGTCGTAAATTCTTTTGTAAAACGGAACTTTGATTTTAATCAGATTGAGTCCTACATATATAGATAGTACAGGAACTCTGGTGTTCAGTACAAAATGGAAGTAGTCTCGAATATACTTTATTTAGCACAGAATTGAAGGACTTTCCTTGGTGTAAATGTAAAACATGACTTCTAGACAAATATTTCTCTGTCCGCCACGGAGGTGAATTTTTTATTGAGCATTATGTCCTACTATTTAAAACCCTTAATCATCAGTGATTGTGTGTTAAACTTTCATTTTATGGTCAAGTGATGATGAAAATTCATTTATTAGGATTGTTGATTAATTGACCGTCGACATAATTATATCAGATTTCTCATTCCTTTAGACAACCCTGTTTCACTTTGCCATGAGATTGATCTACTCATGGATTTTCATCACCTGTTCATAGACAAGAACTAGTAAAATTGACATGGCTTAATTTGTAATAAGTAAGATTAAACATAAGAAATGACTGGTTTGTAAAGGAATTAAGAAAAAACTTACTTTAGAAATATCTCGACCTTGTATAGCTTACATTGTACATGAAAGTGATGAAACGATTAAAAATATATTATCGAGGAGTTGGTCAAAACTTCGAGCCATTTGCGGTAAAATAAAATATAAGTTGGAAAATATAAAGTGATTATCTTATCTCCGCTTCAAATGCCTTCCAGTTGAACACTGTATAATAACTTTTTTTTGTTTACAATAAAAAAAAATAAGAACAAGATGTGTTTTTTTGAAACACTGTGCACCTAGCGGCAACAAAGTTCGAAAAAGCTTAGCATGTAGGTCATAGTAAAGGTCAAAATGTCAATGACCCTGGTGTCATTTGAAAGAACTAAATAAGTGGAGTATGCGTACACAATATGAAGTCTCTATTTCTTAAGATTCAAAAGTTCGAAAACGATATTTTTAGCATAACAGTCAAGGTCACAAGGTCATTGACCTTGGTGTCATTTGAAAAAGCTTAATCAGTGAAGTATACATATCAAATATGAAGTCTCTATCTATGAAGGTTCAAAAGTTATGGCGAAAGTTAAAGTTGACAACAGACAGAGAGACAAACAGACAGGACAAAGATAATATACGCCCCGATCTATCGATCTGGGCGCATAAAAATTAATCACCTTTGAACCACAACTTGAGAAACAGTAAATACTGTACTCCCCGGGTAGCTTAATCATTGTATTGACCCCAAAACAACTAAAACTGCATAATTCTTACGCATATTCCATTTGTTTTAAATTATACTAAATGTATACGGTATTTTCCATTGTTTGTTACCGGTGTGTGATTTTTGTCGTCTTCGAATTCCCTTAATGCGTTTGGCTAAGATTTCTGTCAGTACATTAGACACCCATGATGAGAAAAATGAGTTTTTATCATACGATTATGAGCATTAAGCAAACCTCAAAATACAGCTTTGGCTTCACTTTTTGAACTTAGGGAATATTGCACTATTTGTAAAGATTTGGGGAATATTCAATTGTACTCTTCGGAAAGATTTAGGGAATATTGCACTCTTTCGAAAGATGCATTCTCGCGTTGACCTCAGGGCAGCAGTTATTGTCTCATTTTGCATCGGTATAAAAACATTAAAAGTACATGTACATAATTTCTAGAGTCAGCAAAAATCTGCTTTCCCGAACTGAGCGTTTTAGCTCGTCTGTAGAATAAATGTGATTCTAATAATAAGAGTTGCACCAATACCAGTCAAACTTGTACATGCATATTATGAATTGATGTTTGAATTTTTTTGCAATTTTCTTTTTCAAGCATAACAAGCGGAGACTTAAGCCAAAACCTAAGCTTAGGCCTAAGCCTAAAACACGCCCCCGGAAATGGAAACTGCCGGAGTCTTGTGTTCTACTTAGAAACATTTGTGACGAGCGAGTGTTAAGTAGTTTTCGGAACACATCCCTAAAAGCTGAAATGAGCCCCGAAGAAACGACGGCCACTGCTAGCAAAGGTTTGGATGATTCAGAAACAAATCAAAAGTTATGGCGATCGCAAAGGAAGCGGAAGGCGAATGTTCATTACTTTAAACCTGATGAATATGTACCAACATTAAAATCCCGGAAAAAGGAGTGTGTGATAAAATTCAACCCTCTAGAGGACGTCGATGTTGGTAAATTAATAGAGCACTTAGAAATTCAAAACGAGACTGACAGAGAGGCCTTGTTTGTGAAAAAACAAAAACGATGTGAAATGTTCAAAACAAAATATTCTAAACCACAGACTGCAAAAACGAAGAAGAAGAAATTAAGACCTTTTGAATATTTGCAGTCTTCGATCGTCATCAAGAGTGAACCGGGTCTCAGCCCGCCACGTTTGACACCACAGGACTCACGTGACCCGGAGATAGCGCAGGAAAGTTCGAAACATACGCATGAACACGGCCCACCAGTGCTAGAGCCGTGTAAAAATGAAAAAGAAACATCATTTAGAGTGAGTTTTTCTGGTCGATGTTGTAAAATTAACGATCCCTATTCTCAGGAATTTTATACAGACTTTAGAAAGATTCCAAATGTGAGGTACAAAAAATTAACGAAGAAGAAACAAAGAGAAGAAGACAAACAGTCTAACAGTGAAATAGATAAAACCCATCAAATGCAAGAAAAAACAGACATCAAGGAATCTACGTGTGCTGCCTTGAAATCGACAGAACAACTACAGAGGATAGATAGTAGGACGGTAAAAAAGGATATAATGGCGAAATCACTGGACAAAATGATGGAGAAGGCAGAGATAGACAAACACAACAGCAAACCCGAGAACAGAATTCCAGTGTATCAGAACCAGATCATGGAAACTGTCAAAGAGCTGGCCAAGGAAAAGAAATTTGTCAAGTTTTTCCAGCTGAATGTGGGTGATAAACTTATTTTTATTCCGACTGATGGAACCACTGTTATCCCGAAAGCATACGTTTTGAATAAAGCCCCCGGAGCCACGAATGTTTCTATAGAAACTCACAAGAAAAGCCACATAACTGACCAAGGAACAACGATTGCGTCGATTGAGCAGAACACGACGACACAACCGTCAGAACAAGTCGATCTTAGTATAGTGAAAGAGGAACCCTTGGAGAGTGGGGACGACGAATCGCTGCCAAAAATAACTAGTGTGTTCAGTCTCTCGTCAAACGCCGATAAGGACAGTACGGACAACGAAGTTCCGGCTGATCCTCAGTTAAACTGTGCATCTGATATAAAGGTTCTGACTGAGAACTCCAATAAGGAGACAACCGAATGGCCTTTTGAAAACTCGGCTTCAAGAAAATTGAAAAGTCTTATAAACCTTGATATGACGAAACAAATACAATTGATTAAACAATCTCCAGACACAGAGACACGGCAACTGCAAAGCTTACTCAACCACACGGTATCAACAATTTGTGACAATCGCCATACAACAGCGACAAAGCACAGTGTACTTCTGAAAGGAGAGACGAGAGAGGTGCCGACTGCGAAAGGTGCAGCTGATTCGGTGAAAATCTTAATAGACAAGTCAGGTATTCATTATTACAAGACACCAGACACAGTAACTGATAAGACATCACCTGAACAGAATTCTGCAGCGGTGAACAAAATGGTTCTTCCAAACTTTGGAAAGTTAGAACCTCTTGAAAAAGTTACAAGTAAAGCATTGAGTGACACTTTAACTTTATCTAAGACGTCATTTCTCGTACAAAAACAAACTCCTTCCAGGGTACCATCTCCTAAGGCTGTTCTCCAGGATCCACCACCTAAAACTGTACTCCTGAATTCATCACCTAAAGCTGTTCTCCAAGATCCGCCATCTAAACCTGCTGTCCAGAATCCATTACTTAAAACTGTTCTTCAGAATCCGCCACCTAAATCTGTACTCCAAGATCCACCACCTATCTCTCTCCAGGTGCCACAACCAATCGCCCCTCAACCTGCACAACCAAAATTGATTCTCATTCCACAAGCAAATTCATCAAATTCCTCCCCAAGAGCCGCAGTGTTTGTAACCTCTACGCTAGCAAACACACGGTTACAGAGTCTTTTATCGAATTCTAAAGTACAGTTTGTCAACAGCAAACCACAGACAATTGTGAGAAGTACTGAAGTAAAAGTAAAGAAACCTGCAACTCAGATGATTGACTACACGGGGATATCTACTGGAGAAGTTTGTAGATCCCCAGCTAAGCCACTATTTCTTTTCCCAAATAAATCGAACTCGGATTATCAATCCATTCCTCTCAGTACCACAAGTCAGGTGGTAACAAATTTACAGAGTCTGGTATCTCAGTCTTCACAAGGATTTATCCCACTGAGTACCCCAGTCTCTCGAATCGGTGTTTTTTCCAAACCTAAAGTGAAAAACGCCAATGCAAAGAGCACATGCGCAGTGACGTCTTCTGTGCAGAGACCTGTAAACTCCGTATCAGAGGGCGCGCCCATTAACAAATTAGTTACAAGCAAAACGACCGCATTTGACCGAGTAAAGACATCCGAAAATAAAAGTAACACAACACAGAGCTATTTTCAAGATGATAAAAAACATGTCGGGACGAGCGGCCAAGAATGGATTAGAGTTAAATCGGAGCCGGGAGACAAACACGAGTTCGAAGCTGCCATACTGACAGAGATAAAGAAAGAGAGAAGTGATAGCGAAACCGAAAGTGAAACAGAGACTGCTGGAAACAGTGATGATTTTATTCCCAAAGAAAAGAATCGAAGAAAAAAGCATCGGATAGACTACACCTTTACGCATGTGCGAACAGAACAAGCAGAAGAGACAGACACAAAAGAGCGGATCCGCCGACTAAGAGAAAAGCTGCGCGAGCAACAGGAAGAATGCGAGAGTCTCAAAAAGACTTTATTGAACGACGGCACTGAGGCAACGTGACATCACAAGATGAATTTTATCTGAACTATTTTAGTTATTATCTTCTAAAAGATGATCATTTACTGAAATAAACGTTTTACAGAAAGACTTTATTGAATGACGACAGTGAGGCAACATGATTTCACGAAATGAAATTTAAAATGACTGAATTGTTTAATATTTTGTCTTCGTTATTTTCTCGTGTTGATTATTTTATGACAAAGTAAAATATGTACCAATTAAAAAATATTTGAAACAAGGATTTTTTTTTTAATTTATTGAAACTCTAGCTGCAGATCTCGCTGATTTTGAAAAAGAAAATAGGGATGGACGATTAAAAAGCTAAAGTGTCACTCATTGGAAAAAAAAGTTTATATGCGAAAAGAAATTACTTTGCTTTTCAATATTTTTTTTCTCTTTATATACATGTATAATTTGCCATTTCAAAGTATTCCTAACATATTCTTTGACTTATTCTTTATTCCACAAAAAGACACGCGTTTCAACCAAGGTTAATAGCCCTTCACGTCCTGAAATTGAGACAGAAAATGTCACGTATTTATGCTGCCATTTTGTGTGGCAAGGCAATTCGGCCCAACGCTCTTCGTGCATGACTTGCACGTGCAGATTTGTCTTGGAAGTATTAAAAATATATAAATAAGCAATATTTTAGATTATAGGTACTAATTAAACGAGACGAAGGGCAGTATTTGCGCGCCATAACGTATGCTTTTTTCAGTGGGCAATTTAGCTCTGTGGTCCTCCATCCATTTTTTTTTTCGAACTACAGATCCTAAGATAAGCAAACTCAGACCAAGGACTCGTAAGCTTTTCTGAGTAAATTAAAAAAAAAAATAAATGATAAAAAAAAGCTTTCTTTGGTTGTTAATAAGGTAATTGATGTCGCAGCTATTGCAGAAAAAAAAAAAACGCTAACGAGTTAATGTCGAACCTGTTGCAGAAAAAAAAATACATAGCCCGCGAAAATATTTTTTTCTGCAATAGCTGTGACGTGAATCTCGTACTAACAAAAAACCCATTTTATTGTATTAATATATATACACCTGTATGAAAAAACAACATTCAAAGTAAAATTAAAAGGACATGGTCACAGTTTCAACTGGACTTTTTTAAAAACCAATTTTACTGTTTACAATTCCTAACTAAGGCAATTCAAATGATCAGCAATGATTTGAACATCATTTGTTGTTTTACAAATGAGATGCAGAACATAAAACTCTTCATATTGTAAACGAGCAATAAATGGCCAGACATTGTCTACAAGAATTATCTCTTCTGATTTCTACAATGTTTTCAAAATGTTTTTACATATAGATACACCAAAATTGTGTTATATGGACCATTTAGAAGATTACCCATGATGGTTATATAAGAAATATAACCCTATGGTATCTTGGCAAAATGCGTGGTAAGGAACCTACTTTTTTGTGAGGAAACTTGTTTAAGTACCTATACTTCAATGACAAATTTTTAGGGAAAATTATATATTTTTGAGGAACGTGTCGTCTGACCTTAAGAAGAGATAGGGTTTTCATATATGAAAGTATCGACCAAAGAACTTATGAAATGATGACTTTAAACGAGACTGCTGATATTCTTGTTTCATCAACTTGTCTGTTAATAACTCGCCTCTTTTAGAAACTGTTCATACGTAGAGCATACTCTTGCTTAACGAATCAACTGAGATATATATACTCCTTATGCAGGCGATGAAGGTATATTGTTGCATAAATTCAGGAAGTTGACGATAGAAAAGTTAAAGTCATCAAGTTTATCATAGAGCTTGGTTGTTAGATTACCATTAACGTCTTTCTCAAGTAAATATCCAAGTATAAGCAGATGTGTCAGACTCTGTGGTATCTTTCATCTCAAGCTCCCCAGGATATACCGTATCGACATAGGAATGAAAATAACCAGATTCTTTATGCATTGTAGATTCGGTGCATAAATATTCAAATCATGGTCCCATGTGGGCTGGGCTTGGATAATACCGAGATTTTTTATAAACAAATTAAGAATATCCATAGAAACATTTTTATAAAACAACAGAGGAATATTAAGGTTTATTATTTCACAAGGGTATCTATGTAGATGGAAAAGAACGCCATCATTGTAAAAATCACGACCATAGCATATCACAAGAGGCCGTTTTACTCAAAGGTTTAAGGAAAATAGAAATAAATTCCAATCAAAGTTCCTTCAAAAGAAATTTGAAAAAAAAGAATTTCAAGCCGGGATTGGTAGTTTTGCAAATGATTGTTTGCCTTTTAAAGGGGGGGGGGGGTCAAAAGGTCGAAAATCTCGAAGATTTGTATTCCCCCTAGATGTTTAAAAATTCTGTACATATTTTGGTGGAACGTCTTACGTACGTACTTCCAACAAAATACTGCGCTTTTGAAATTATTTTATTTTCACCATTATTTGAACTTTGCACGAAGGTTGTCCATTTGCTTTGTTAAGATAAAACTTTTGTTTTGCTCTATGTGCATACTTCGTCGATGAAGTGTTGTAGTTTGATCGAATGAAACTAAATTATGAAACTTTCATTGGCAACAAATGCCCGTCTAAAAGAGTATGAATGAAAGGAATGAAACTTTGTTTTTCAATGTCAATGAATGTGTTTCTAAGATATTAATTATAGTATATTGCAGTTTAACTGTATAAATTAAACCAATAGAGATCATAGGAGGGGAAGCTTACAAACCAGTGAAAGGCGATAAATTACATTTTTGAAGTTTGTACAGACTATGTTACATTTGAATATGATTGTTATTTTAAATAATTGCCATACAACTAAAAATGTTTTGTTCAGATTTAAACTTGCTTAAAAATGCTTTAGAAATTGCATCAGACACGTAGAAAAAAGTAGGAACACATCTTTTACGTTATACTTCTAAGTGCATTGATTTGTTTGATAGTTTTCCCCATATTTTTTAATATTTCAAAAATTTACGTTCGAATAATTTGAAAATTTCAAACCAAGGTACTGGAAACATGATCTTTAACTTGAAGTTAAACTAAAGTGCAGTTTTTTATATATCATAATAACTTTTTTCAATAAAGATGGAACTTATCAATTTGCTTGCCGTTGGTAATTTAAAAAACGATTTTGCCAAAAATCATTTTGATTGTAACCGTTTCGTTCATACGTTGATTTGAGATTTCCCTAAGAGCTCAAATGAAAAGACACCGAGGAATCTGACTAGTGTTAAAAAATTGGACGAGGTTTAGCAACCATTTACTCACTAACTCTTCCGCTCAAGTCAACTTCAGAGTACCTGTGTTTCGATCAGAATGTTTTAACAAATTACTTTTGCAGATGACTAATGACAAGGTAAGTAAATTTACAAGTTCCATTTTTATTGAAAAAAGCAGCTGTCAATGATATCAAAAAGCTTGGACTTTAATTTATCTAGGGGATTGCCGGACGTTTTTCAGCTTTTGATTTCAAATTGTCCGAAAGTTCCTTGAAATTTTTAAGTATTAAGATGTGATTTACACCACATCTTGAATATATTGTTGAACAACACTCTTAAAATTTCTCCATCACCACTGTTAATATCTTATTGAGGAGTAAAGAAAGAGGCTTGTTTGAGCATTTACTGAAACCCCCTATGTATCTTTGTTTTTAATGATTTTTATGAAGTTTCGGAATCCAATATACATGTAGATACATGGTAGTTCAAATTCATTTGGTTCTTTGGGATCTTAAGAATATTAAAAACTGAATCGCAGATTTTCACAAAACTTCGATCTTAATCTTAGAAAATGTTTATTATGACAATTATCAGATTATTATGCACATTGGTTTATAATATTTTAGAATCAATTTCACAAACTAAACATATACATTAATGTTCTGATATTGGGATAATTTTCAACACATGAAAATAAATCTTCTCATGATGTTCAGAGCATGTGGATCAATTCATCGTCGTTCAATAATTTTCCTTCTTTGTTCAGAAACAGTTCTTATTATGTGAATTGATAATAGCTCTCATCAACAGGGTAGGATAATTTATCAACTCAGAATGATTAATTGAATTAGAACTTGCTTTGAGAGCTCTTTATTCACAAAATAAAATCTGTTTCGTGTACATTAACTATGTTTTGTTCCTTATTGCAAAATAGCTAATTTTCCTTATTTTTATTTTGGTTTCACCTGGAACAATCATTTGGAATGTTATCCTTTGTAAGACTTAATTATCAAAGCCATGATTGGCAATCAATTCAGATAATTTTTTGAAGTTCCTGAAATAAGTATTGTCTATGTGAATATTATTATGAGATAATGTTTGGAGTTTGTTTAAAACAATGGCATGAAATCTGACAGCACGTATATAGGGGAAGGTTTTCTGCATGTTCGGATTGATATCCATGTGAGCTATCATTTAGCTCACCCCTTTGTATGGTACTCAAAAAGGTACTCCACCCACGATATGTACCATTTAGAGGTGGGATCTCGTACATGCTTTCCCCCTATCCAACAAAGATTCCGAAAAATCTTTGGATTTTCCAATTGAAGACTTGTCTGTTTGTACATGTAAAAACATGCCATCATCGTCAAATATAATTGAAATGATTGCAATGTTGTACAACCCAAATAAAGGCCATGATAGTTTCAGAAGTATTATTGAGGTAATTGTTGATGAAGTCTTCCTGTACGATGTCTTTATGTTGAGAATTTTTGAGAGGTATTTATTTTTCCTTTGGAATACAAGTATTTCATAGGTCTTTTCTCAAAGCAAAATGGCCGACAGTGAATTTTACAATGATTATAATGTTGTTTTGCTTGCTGTCATTACAAATATGATCTTAGTTGAAAATGAATTTAAAGTGTTCCTTATTTACTGCTGGCAAGTCGACAATTTCATTTCTTCACTATCATACACTTTGACAGGGGGTATCTCTATTCTCTGTTCCTTGTCGTAAGAGTAAAACCGGTGCTGTATCACTTCTTCATCTGGAAAAAATAGCATATTTTTTATTTCTTCCAATTTATGATCTTAAAAAGAATTAATTAAACTACCAAATCAATTCCATGATCAGCAATCAATCCAGGTAACTTTTAAAAGTTCCTCAAATAAGTATTGTCTGAGTATTATTATGAGGTGATGTTTGGAGTTTGTTTAAAAACAATGCCTACATAAACGTCATCAAAACGTAAAGCACACATATAGGGGAAGCATTTCTGCATGTCCAGAATGATATCCCTGTGAGCTGTCATTTAGC